CTGTAATGTGAAATATATATAATCTTAAAGAAAAAAAAGATGGTTAGTTATGAGAAAAGATAATAATAATTATAGTAAACTCAGGCGAAATTTACCCTTTTGATTGCAATACATAGTGCCAACACACAAGTTAAAAAGGGTAATGAAGTTTTCACCAGCATGTAACTAAAAACTATATAATATATACTATATACTACTAAATGTTAGTATTTGAGTGGGTTAATGAAATTATTAAAGGCTCCAAATCAGGATTGATGAGGAGCCAGCATTTTGTCTTTTTTTTTTCTCTTTTCTCACTTGCCAAGTTATGGAAAAGTCTAAACTAGACTTTTATTTTTCCTTTTCCTGCTTGGTCATTTTTATAATTGTATGTAATTTGAAATCGGTTTGGGAAGTCAGTGTAGTGTGGACGTATTTATTGTTGGGAGAATTATTCTTGAGTGTATTGAAAAGTTAAATAATCCATGATTGGTAGTATAGAGAAAATTAATCCTCATTTAATGTAATGCTTCCAATTATTAGGTGTAATGAGAGTAAAATTCTGATGTAATGAAAAATGTTGCAAAATATCGAAAACAACCTTTAATATAGTCAGAGTTGTATCTTCAATTTTTCTTCTTTTTGGCTTAGACCGCTAGACTAATTAAAATAAAATGATTAAATGAGACATACTTTTCTATTAACTCTCTATTTTTTCATTCCGGGAAAAAAAAAATTTTTCTATTCTTTTCATCTATACTACTTTTTTTTTTAATTAAATAGAACTTTAAATTAAGATGATGTAATTAATATTTACTTAGTTCAAGTTCATTTAGAATGTCTTAAGACACGCAATTATTTTCTCCATTGATGAATTATAAATTGACATTAGATTTTTGATTTTAATTGGCATAGACTTAAGTTTTTGTGATACCAGATAAGTAATAGTTTAATCATTTAGATGCTACTGTATGTTTTTAAATAGAAGACCCTATATAACCAAGTTTTTATAATTTAGATGATAGAATATATTTCAAGCAAATCCAGTTTTTCATTTATAGATTAATAATTGCTATTTAGAAATATAGCAATATTTTTTTTGCCAAAAAATATAACAATATTTAGATAATGTAACTTTGAAACATTTTTTCAACATCAAACCATTACATTCAATAGAAACAATTCTTACTTAAACAATCCAAGCCGTATTTTACTTGTAATAATAATATTAACTGATTGAAACCCAATATCCCAACTGTGAGTTTGCTTCTTTAGGATTATGAGAGCTAATAAATAAAATGTCGAAAACCTAATAAATTTTTATGGGTTGTGTAACTTCATTTCGCCGCATTCCTTTAACGCACCATCAAGTTCAACTAGTAATTCTTGATTATAATTTATAATACTATTTCCTCTCCTTTTCACCTTTCATATTTAAGGAACTTTTTTTTTTCTCTTTCGAAGAATTATTTAAGGAACTTCTAATAGCAAGAAAGAACAATAAATTGTACAGTAAGTGTTGATGGTGTGCTAGTATATCTAATTATGACATAAACTACTTTTACCAGGTTACTTATAATTCTAACTTCTAAAGTTGCCAACCAATCCGACAACGGAGTATGGTAATAATATCTTAGATATTTTTTTCTATTATTGAATCTGATTATTATTGAATCTGATCGGGACTCGAACCCTTACCTTTTAGGTTCAAATGCATCCGTCTGATCATCAAAGCAAAATTTATGATTACATTTTAGTTTTTAGATATAATGACAAAATGTTAACGATTGGAATCATGACTACGTGGTAGAAGCGGTTCTTCTAATAATTTCTCTTAATCTGGATAACTTGGTTGGTAGAGTGCTAGCTGAATTGGCTGCGTTTAGTAGAACGGTGCGGTAGCGGTGTGATTGACACTGTTTAGCAACTGTACAGATTAGATTAGGTACTGTACAGATGAGATTATTAGAGCAACAATTGAAATTGAATTTATACTTAAGTTCTGTTTGGATCCAAAACAGTGGTGAAACGATCAAACAGTGGTGAAACGGTTACAGATAAGAAGCCATTGCCAGTGGAAAATGCAAATTCGTTGAGTAGGGTGATTAACTGATTATAGATTGTAAGAAGATGTTGTGTAGAGGATGACACTGTTCGTTTCATGTGGATGGGATAGACACAAAATCATTGTGTTGATTTTGCGAGAATTTGATGCTGCTAAATTATGTTGATTCACTCATTCACCTATGAGTCTTTCTTGTTTGATTCTTAATCGCCTTTGAGGTATGGACTTCTGCTACTAAATGCTTAAGACAATTGTGGCTTGGGCTTTATTTCCCATTTTCTTGTTAGGGTATCCAGGCTGTTGGCCCATGACCATTTAGAATGAGAATTAATTAAGATCCTTAATTGCAAAAAATTGCAAATAGTCACTTATATTTTGTTTTTTTTTTTGTAAAACACTTATATTTTGTTGTTTGGGGGTCTTTTGTTTTTAATTTAAATGGAATCCTCATTAATAGTATAAATAAATATAGATTTTATTTATTTTATCTACCTATTTAATGCTTTTCCTAGGTTATTTCTTCATCTTTGTATAGTACATTTAGATAAAGATAAAATAAAAAACTTTTGAGATGATCCAGAAGTTGAAGAATTAAGATTTATATTGTCTTTCGGGTCTCATATCTTATAAACCATAAATAATAATAATAAAAAAAAAAAACAAAAATTAGAACCGTAAGGATTAGGTAACCACAAATTGGTGAATTCTATGTTATGTGCCTAATTACTAGTTGGATCAAATATGTGTTCTGTTCATATATTTTATAACATTTTTTTGGCATCCATATATATAACATTTGTGGGTTTAATTTTGCAAAATTTTGATCTTTTCCTAATATGCTGTCACTGCTGTTGTTTTGTATTAAATTAAATTTGCCATTCTCTTAAAAAAATTCCTTGAAAAGAATTGTGCTATTAAGAATATATAAAGGCTAGAAAAACAAAAAATTACATAATTAAAACAAAACAAGCAAAACAAATACTTAATGGCATGTTCTTTTTTCCTGAACAAAACAAAAAAATTTTAATAAATTTTTTTGTGCAAATTACATAATCCAAGCAAATAAAATTGAATTAATCTTATAAATTTTCCACTTTATTCATTCAATATTTTACATAAATTTATATATAATATATCCTACTATCAAGTAAATACTGACTATAAATATAGGGAGTTGTTATTTACCCTCTCCTTTTTGCTAAACACCGCCCCCTTTTGATAATTTTGTCATTTACTTCATTTTCTAAAAATATAATTTATAATTAATAATTAAAAAAAATAAAAAAATAAACGGTGCCGTCCTCTTTGGGCGGCATGACCATGGTCATGCCACCCTCCTTGGGCGGTATAACCATGGTCATGCCGCCTTAGGAGGGCGGCACCGTTTTTTTTTTTTAATTATTAATCATTATTAATTATTAATTATAATTGATAATAACAATTTAAATTAATAATAATTAAATAATTAAAAAAATAAAAAAAATAATTGGAATCTTGGGACGGTACCAACAATATTTCAAACCATAACTTTTTTTGACAGAATTCTATATCTACAACTTAGATCTACAAAATCCGACATGATTTTCTTTAAGATTGTTTTGAAAATTTGATCTTTTAGTTTGAATGTTTTAGAGGATTTGAAGTTAGAAAGTTTGAAGAAAATATGAACAAAGGACAAAAATGTAAAAAAAGGGCGATAAGTAACAAAAGAGGGACGGTATTTAGCAATTCAGATAACATATGAGTGGTAGCAGTATTTTTATCAATTCTCTAGTTCTCTTGAGTCTTGACCCAACCGAATGATAATCAATCAATCAATGAATAGAAAACGATCTTCAACGGCCAAGATGATGAAATTGGCGCTTTTACCGCCATATTTTATATATTAAAAAATAACTTAAAATGCTTCATATATATATGACTTAAAAAAAAAGAAGATAATTTCTAAAAAACCCTGACCTCACATAGTAGATTTATTTTTTAGCATTCACAAAAACTCATTTTCAGTTTTTCTCAACAACTTTTCAAGAACTCAAAAGGCCACACTCGATTTAACATTAGATATATTTTCTGACATTCATTGTCATAATCCAAATACTTTTATAATATAATCCAACTTAGACACAAGAATAAGATTACTCGAAACCATTTCTTCAGTCTTTTTCGCTTGATCACCATTGTAATATTGCATGGCTACACACTTTAGTCCTTGTTCTTCATCTTCTTCTTCTCTTACTTTCTCTTCTAAATTTAATGTTTGTAAGCCAAGAAGATGTTGTTTCTCGAAATGGGTTTCCCAAGTTCGTCCAAGAATCCATTCAAGAAGCCATTTCCAGATCAAATCCTCAAATGGGCAACCACTAATAAATGCAGTTTCTATGCAGGATGGTCAGCCATTTTCTTTTTCCTTTTTTTTTTCCTTAAAATAGCATGCATGAATTTGTCTTTTTGTGTTAAACTCGCTTTTGCTTTAGATAATTGACTTTCTGTTGGTAATGTGATCTTTGATTCTTTTCACTGCAAGAATTCTTTTGGAATAGGGTCTTTTATTGAATGAAATTGTGCTATAAAAGAATTCTTGATTTCACCAATGTATGATTTCTGGGAACTTTTGATGCTATCTGCTAATGTATGTTTACTGTTATAGTAATCAATTTGTTAAATGAAACAATATCAATTAATTGTCGAAAATTTTAGGTTGTTTTCCAGCAGAGCAATAGTTTATCTTTACCATGTATGATATGATACTAATGAAGTAATGATGACAATTTGGACTTGTAAACAAAAATGTATTTCAAAGCATGTTTTGGATTCTAGAAATGATTTGCCTTTTCCTTCAAACTGCCTTTTTATTATCTAGGAACTCTATTAGTTCTTTTGCAATCTTTTCTGCATCAGGTTTGTCCTTTGTTTAGTTTCTCATTTTGAGGCCAGGGTTCTTTTCTTTGAATTAGGTATGGATGGAAGGCTGTTGGCCAAAGGAATCAATTCTAAAGAGGAAGAGGTTTCCTTTGACTTCTCAGACTCAGAGGAAGTACAGTCTACTTTAAGCATAACTGTTGTTGGAGCTTCAGGGGATCTTGCTAAGAAGAAAATTTTTCCTGCACTCTTTGCTCTTTACTATGAAGATTGTCTTCCCGAGGTAGTGCTCTTCATTCCTTCACAGAGTTTCACTTTCTGAACAATATATAATTTTCTTTAACCTTAATCAAGATAATTAATATATGGCATAGAACTAGCTAAGATACTTGCAATGGCTAGTCAGTTTGAATCTTCTCTTATGTTTTCTCTTGTTGTGCAGAACTTTATGATTTTTGGTTATGCTCGTAGTAAATTGACAGATGAAGAGCTGAGGAACATGATTAGTGGAACTTTAACCTGTAGAATTGATAAGAGGTACGATTAACATCATGCCAAAGTAATTTCTATCATCTTATAATTACAACTCCTCCTGTGATTGTGTATACTTATATTACGTGGGATGACGTATAGGGAAAATTGTGAAGATAAAATGGAGCAGTTCTTGAAGAGATGCTTTTATCATTCAGGTCAGTATAACTCTGAGGAGAATTTTGCAGAACTAGACAGGAAGCTCAAAGAGAAAGAGGTAATATGATTTTCTTTTTTGGCATTCCCTCAGTTTTCTTAACCTCCATACAATCTTATTGTAATGTTTTTGTACTAAATATTGCAATTAGTTTAGGAAGTAAAGGTATTGGAAGTTACAAGAGTTGGATAGACTTTTGCAATGCATATCATGACATTAAGTTTGCCATCTTTTGCTGGAATGCACTGAACAGTCTTGAGAATTTTACTGACATCCTTTAGATTTAGGGACTTTTCTATTAGGGAAGTTGAAATTTTCAACCTGCTAAATTTTGTGTATTAGTATACAAATAGTATTTGAAAGATTATTGTATGTTTAATGCTACTATGCAGTCAAAACATCTAGCATCTTCTAAAGTTTTATGGTTTGTGTCAAATCCAAATTGTGATACCTCACCATATTATTGTTGTTGTCCTGGCAATTTGAAATAGTGCTGTTGTTAAATGTTCACTCCTGTAGGATTAATACCGGAAGAATTGGTTTCAGAAAAATGATTAAGATCTGGGACTTAATGAAGTATAGTAAAGAAGGTTTGACTGTTTTTTTAAAATCTTGAATGGTGATTAAGGTCTTGTATGGTAATTAACTAAAGGAAAACATTATCATGGGCTATTACCCATTAGGGCTGTCTAACTGAAACAATGATGGATTTCCTTGTTTGCATGCTAAAGATGCAGTAGGTGCAAAATGACATAATTCTTCAACCAGCATTTTAGGAAACGGCTTGTTACTGATTCCATCTTAGACTTCTCTCTGTCCTAACACTGGGAAATGTCTATTTCCAGGGTGGAAAACTGTCCAATAGATTGTTTTACTTGTCAATACCTCCAAACATATTCGTGGATGTTGTGAGATGTGCCAGCCTCAAAGCTTCATCATCAAATGGCTGGACAAGGGTCATCGTTGAAAAGCCATTTGGCCGTGATTCAGAGTCCTCTGCTGAGCTAACAAGAAGTCTAAAGCAGTATCTAACTGAGGATCAGATATTCAGGTACATTTTGCTCTATTGTTTTAAATAGGAAATCGGATTAAAAAAGAAAAGGAAAAACTCAATCTTGATTATGCCTTTCTAGGATTGACCATTACTTAGGCAAGGAGCTTGTGGAAAATCTGTCGGTGCTTCGCTTCTCGAATCTTGTTTTTGAACCTCTATGGTCAAGGAATTATATCCGCAATGTGCAGCTGATATTTTCTGAAGATTTTGGTACTGAAGGCCGTGGGGGGTATGCTGCATACTTTTGCTGATTTTTTTGTATCTAAAGACAAGATTTTTTCAAAAAGAAAGGTCACTTAAACGGTTTCTCTTCCAGCTATTTTGATCATTATGGAATCATACGCGATATAATGCAAAACCATCTCTTGCAAATACTGGCACTGTTTGCAATGGAGACTCCTGTCAGCTTAGATGCTGAGGACATTAGGAATGAGAAGGTATTAGGATTCTGTTTCACATGATTTATACCATTGAGAATGTGCTTTCACTTTTGGTTGCTTGCTAGACATGTCAGACTTATTTTCCTGTAAAATTTTGAATTTTCCTAGAGCTTTATTGTAAAATTTTGTAAATGCTGTTCAGGTAAAGGTTCTGAGATCAATGAGACCACTGCAGCTTGAAGATGTCATAGTTGGTCAGTATAAGGGCCACAGCAAGGGTGGTAAAACATATCAAGGTTACACTGATGACGCAACGGTACCGAACAACAGTCTTACACCTACATTTGCTGCAGCAGCTCTATTTATCAATAATGCTAGATGGGATGGTGTCCCTTTCCTCATGAAGGCTGGAAAAGCTCTCCATACAAAGCGGTTGGTGAATTTTGTTATTTATTTATTTTATCTTGAGGTCCTAAGCCTTGTAATCATCCCTATTATTGAGCGTCCTTAAAAGTTGTGGGCATGAAAATCCAGGGCAGAGATCAGAGTTCAGTTCAGACATGTTCCAGGCAATTTGTTCAAGCGGAATTTTGGAACTGATTTAGACAAAGCAACAAATGAGCTTGTGCTACGTGTGCAACCTGATGAAGCCATTTACCTGAAGATCAATAACAAGGTTCCCGGTCTTGGAATGAGATTAGATCGCAGTGACCTTAATTTGCTTTATCGAGCAAGGTACGTAGGGGATATTTTGTCAACCATTTTATTAACTCAATATGCTGCTTCAATCCAATGACCTGCACATAACAGAAATGTCAAATGTTTTGTCACTGAACTTGACAATGAAACTGGAATTTTCTGTCTATTGGACCAATTGTTGCTGCCATTTATTTAGCTTTACTAGCATCCAGATTCATTTTTAAAACCCATCAAGTGTTGCTGTTAAAGTGACATAAGTTTTACGACTTCCACATTGACAAAAGAAAGAACATCTTGCCAGTAAATGCACTATGATGATATCTTAGAGGCTTCAACTAGAACAAAAAGATGTAGATCACTATGATAGCTCGCGCAAGTACATTTCACCTTATTTGCTTATAAGCTTCTTCAGTGGCATTAAATTAAGACTTTGGTTATTGATATGATGAAGGTATCCAAGAGAAATCCCTGATGCATATGAGAGATTGCTGTTAGATGCTATAGCTGGGGAGCGAAGGTTGTTCATTAGAAGCGATGAGCTCGATGCTGCTTGGTCACTCTTTACACCATTGTTGAAGGAACTTGAAGACAAAAAGATCGCTCCCGAGCTCTACCCTTATGGAAGCAGAGGACCAGTAGGAGCACACTATCTTGCCGCTAAGTACAATGTCCGATGGGGTGATCTCAGTGGTGAAGATTCATAAGTAGCTAAGAAATTTTCAACAAATTCTGTCTGCAGTTGCACACATGAATTATATATTAGGGTTCATTATATTTTAGTTTTTACCCATAGTTCCTTCTATCCAGTTCATGATATCTTTTGTTTTTGATTTAAGTGGATATGCTTAGCTGAAATTTTGTATCATCAAGGTTTGGTTTAGCAGATAGTTCAAAGGCAGGCAAAGTGAATGCATGTCAGCAATTAATTCATGTGTATGAGTAACATGGGCAAATGTGCATATATAAACTCGAGTCTTCTTTGGAGTTTTGGATTTTCTTTCAAGAAAGAGGAAATAAACCTCACGCTATACATAAATACTGCATGAACTCAAGTGATTTTTTTATCTGTTTGAATTTTGCTCCTCTATATGTCTACAGCATTGATCAATTTAGCTCTTATTTTCATTCTTTAGAGGCCACAAAATGAAAATGAAGAGTTGAATTGAGCCCAATAGAAAACATAACATAAAAGCCTGGATATTAATTAAGCATATGTGTACATTGATTTTGAATACTTATCATATTTCCACTCGCCTCATTACCACTATGATGAAAATTTAGCAAATCCTAACAAATGGTCATCCAAATTTATGGAATAAAGTAGAAAGACAAGGCACAACTACAATACCCAAATTGCGCTCTTGGGTTTAAACCGATAGATGTGTCCTCTTAATTGGTTCGGTGATATATGCACCACATCCTCTATCACCGCTCCTACCATCAAATTATAGTGCAAGCTCATTTGTTTAGCCTTAATGAGGGGTTTAACTCTTCTCTGTATTTTAATTAAAGCAAAATTTTGAAATTTTCGTAATTAAAAGAACTTTAAGCCTTAGTTGCTCACCCCACATAGTTTAGGCCCAAAATGCTGCTTTTAAAAAGAATAGGCCTAAATTAATAAAAACATGCAAAGGTTTAGAGCTATGTAGAATTTTTTAGCCAATATAATATTTTACCAATTCAAACTAATTCAAATTAGGGGAAAATCTTTTATTACCGATAATCTTCTACTTGGGGGAAATCAAATATCCTTCAAACCAAACGTGCCCCAACTTGCATGGGTAACCTATGGATTCAATTTTGAAGTCTGTGTTATCTAACTTTCTACTTGCTTTGGCTTGCTAGGTAGAAAGAATATTTACTAGGAGAATAGAATAAATTAATGGGAAGGAAAGAAAGAAAGAAAGGGGGCAGGGAGGGTAAGAGCCTGGGGAGATGGTTTGCAAATCTCCAAAAGCAGAGAAGAGAGGAGAGGAGTAGCTTAGGTAATAAGGCCTAAGGTAGCTGTAGTTGGTAGGGCCCCCTCGTGTACGTTGTAGTAAGTTTCTAAGTTTGTATATCAGATTCAGGTTCAGATGAGCAACAGCAGAGAGTAGGATACTAGGCCCACCCCGGCCCCCATACCCACACCATTCAATATTACTATTATTTATAGCTTGAAAAAGCACTGGATGATCAAACCCAACTTGTACTTTGCTTGCAAAGCAAAACAGATGGATTTCCTTTCCTTTCCATCCCTCCTTTTGCTTTGCTGTTTTCTACTAAATTCCAAATGCTATGCAAAACAATAACATGTTTGTTTCAATTCCAGCCCCCCAAAAGGCCACCCAACCCAACGCCCAACAATACCCAAACCTTTTTCTCTTTTGTTTTAAGAGAAGAAATTGATGTCGGGTCAATTGGACTTGTGGTACAAGGTAGTCAAGTTTGAGTGCCATATGATATGATAGACCTCATTGATAGGCTATAAATTTGAAAAATTCACAAATAAAAGTAATGAATTTATAAATTTTCTGAAGAATTAGTGACTTTTCCTAGTGGAGATGAATAATTTATCTTAGAAAAAGGATTGGGTTTGAGTACCGCTAAACTCCCAAATGTACTATCTATTTAGAAATGGGATATTGATATTGCTAGTATCCTTAATAGTACTTGTAACATTTTATTCTTAAATTAAACTTTAACTTTAAAAAAAAGAAAAGAAAAGGGAATTAGGTGTATTACTAGTATTTACTAATTATTATTATTCCATCGAGAATGGTTGATAAGACATAAGCATGCCATCCCCTTTCCCTTCTCACATGAGCCTTGATCTGCTTCTTAGTCAAAAAGGATGACTTTGTTCTTTGGGTTGGCTGGCCCCCCTGGCGCTGCCCCCTACCCTGCCCTTGGCCCCACTCCACTCCCATGTTTATGTCACTTGCCCTTCCCAGGGGACCTGTGCCAACCACCAGCCACCACCACCGCTCTCACCTCCCTCCTCCTCCTCCACCACCACCAAAGCTTTCATTTGCTTCTTGCGACATTTTGCATTTGCAGTCAGAGTACGTCACATCTTTTCCCTGCTTTTAATGTTCTTGCCTCTAAATTAACAACTAACTCTACTATACAAATTAATTAACACTTACTACTACTAGTAATTAGTAATACCAACTTTTCTCAGAACTTTCTCTCCCTTTTTTCTTTCTTTATTTATGGTATTATATTAAACCCACCATTTGGAATTTTTTTAATACAAAGTACAATTAGGTATGGTCAGTAGGATATTAGACATTGACTTTTCTAATTTTTTTTTTCAAAGAAAAGTGTTCTTCTTGTTACAAGTTTCAATTTATTAATTAATCAATAATTATCCATATCTTTTGATTAAAGGTCCTTTTTTTTTTGCAACAATCTTTTGATTAAAGGTCTACTAGTACAACAAATCTTCCTAAAGAAAGATTTGATCTTTCCCTGCTCACTTTTCCCGTAAGTAAGTACCATCAAATGAAACACAGTAACACACTACTAATTATATTAAATTAGAGTAAAATTCGAATGAGCTTGGGCAGTTTTTAATCAAGTTGGAGCTCAAGCTTAGTAGTAGATCATTACTCAACCCGGCTAGATTATATTCCTACATCATATTGATTTTAGGATAAAGAATGAAAATCATCTCAAATTCTGTCTCATCCTAAATGATATAAAAGAGTAATAAATTACTTATATGTCTCAACAATATATAGTAAATCAATTTGTGACATTAATTTACTTCATTTCATGACAAGTTTCATTAAAGACAACATTGAATTTGAAACCATCAGTACAAACTACAAACATAAGATAAGAAATACTACTAGCAATCCAACTAACGGAAATGGAAGTTAAGAAAAAACAACTCAACTCCTATACGATAGAACCATATATAAAAAGAACCGTATGAAGTAGTAGAAACATGTGTGGAGTCATAAGCAACTTCAAATCAATATCCAAGAAACCTTCAATTAAACCCCTCGACGTTATTCTTCCAATTATTCCTTCACCATAGATATAGAGGAATTCTCAAAGGTATTATATATGGCTAAATATACTATTTCACCTTCAAACTATCTTGAAAAGGACAATTGTAACCCCTAAACCCTTCTTATGGACAATTTGCTGTCAAACTATTGTTGGACAAAATGGCCTGAGTTGGATGAGATTGGCTACATAATTAGCATTATGTAAGTGCCATGACAATTAATGCCACATCGAGCCATAAATTTCATCAAATCCAAGTCAAATCATCTTGAGATAACCAAAATGTAAGGGCTTAGTTGATTAAAAATCAAAATTAGAAGGTCAAATTATCCCAAATGAAAACTTCATGGGCCAAAATGTTCTTTCTAAAACAGTTTGAGGATCAAATCATACAATAAACAAACTTTGAAGTCCCTTACTTTAGGCATCCAATTGGCCACTTGTTAGACCCAACACTAGCAAATCATTGCTAGAATTCAAGCTCATTTAAACACTTTTTAAATTTTGTTTATAGATTCGATGAAACAAATGATAGATTGACTAAATTACAACTAATTATCACATATCATATGCTTATGCCCAAGGATGAGGGACAAGAAAGTTCACGCTTAGTTTCAATTTGCACGTTTTGCTCAATCTCAAGATTTATCTCCTAGTATCATTGCGTATCATACATAGTTGATATGCAAAGGGTCAAAATCTAAACCACAATTACCTTTCTCCTGATCTCCTCTGTTGCTTACTTGCCGTAGCAACATGAACTTGACTAAAAGATCAATAGCCATAATTGGATTCAAGATGTATCTTTCATGATTCACTGTTACATACATAAATGTATTACATGTACACATAATGTTTTATTGTCTCAGGCTTTTCTGATTAAAATTTCAAATTTTGAATACACATCTTCTTAATTAACCTTGACAAGTCCCCCAATTGGAGTGCTATAACTTGCGAGTCCAAATCTTCCTTGTGCAAGTCGATCGATGCGAGACCACCTATTAGTAAGTGTTAGGCACATATTTTATTGTATTTCACATTTTAATTCTAATTGATTATGTATTTATTTTTATGTACTTGATGCTTAATTTACTCATATTTATGTTTTAGGTACATATTGGAGTGGTTCAAGGCAAAAGGAGTTAAATTGGAGTTATTTAGAACAAGTTGGGAAATTTCTGTTTCGACATTCTGACGGGTCGAAATCAACCTCCACAAAGGGTCGAGATTCACCAAGATACAAGCTGAAATTTTCCTATTTCAACCTGGAGCGGGTCAAACTCGACCTTCTCAAGGTCGAAACAGGCTGCGGGAATCAAAAGGCTTGGAGATGTCACGTGGGCTTAACTTTCTTTTGGACTCAATTGTTTTGAGCTTAATTTTATAACAGCCGCACACATGGAATATTTAGGCTTAAGAGATATTTTTATTACCCAAAATTATTCATTTTAGTTATTTAGGAATTTTTGTGGCAAAATTGTAAAATTGCCAAAGACTTAGAAAATTAGGTTTAGTTTTATTTAGGCAACTGCATGCCTTAAATCAATTGAACTTTACAATTCCAGAATTTCTGTTTGGCTTGGGACGTGATTTTGGGAGGAGGAGAAAAAGAGAGAACTCACTCTCTCTCTTGGTTTTCTCTATTCTTAGTTCTTTTGTAATTTTTCTTTTCTAGTTAATTCAATTTTAAAACTTTCAATCTCTT